CATTTGGTCACGAGTCATTTCCAAATGACCCAAAATTGAGATGACCGATAATGACCGGTCATTTCGAGGTCATTTGAAAATTTTACAAATGACCAGGTCATTTACCATCACTGATAAAAAGTACAGAAATTCAAATCAAAATAATTCTCTCTTACTGTGCGAATCTTGTGCTATTGTATTCGTGGTCAATAAAGTTTTTATTGATTCTTCAATAACATCTAATTTGTAAGAATCTTCTTGAAATGTACACTCAGTCCCGTAAGTATCTTTCTTTTTTTGTAAAAAAGTCGCTATTTCTGGAATAAGAGTTTTTATAAAAATATGGCTCATTTGAAGCGACGCTGTAGTATCAACATTAGTTTCTTTTTTAGCGGAAAGCAGCATCAAAGTACGTGTACATTGGAATGATGTTATTGCAATCTATTTTCCGTATAAAATAGACATGTTTAAATAAAATTGAATAAATATTATAAATTATAATATTAAAACGTTATTACCGTATCATTTTCAGAATAGAATCCATTTTTTAATATTTCCATAAATTCGGTTTGTATTGCAGTATTTTCAGTGCATTGTTTTGGACAAGAAGTAAAAAGTATTGTTGCAGTCAATAAACTGTTTTTAATTACGGATACTTCATCTCCTTTTAATACGTCTTGACTTGTTTTGTTAAAAAAGTGAAGTAGAATCAAATATGCAAACATATAATAATATATATAAAGATTAAGATTATTATGAAATCAAATATGAACAAACCTTTTAGCAAGTGAGTTAATCTGCAATAATGTAGAAGAAATTGTTGAATGAACTACACGACTAAGTGTATAAAATTCTTCTTCTTCAAGATGAGTGGAAATATTTTCACATAAAAGCTTAATGTTGACAAGCACGTGAGGCACTAATTCGCTTTGAAATTTGGGGTCTTGAATGATGGCTACATGATTATTTAATTTAAGTCGATTGGATTTAAATATAACGTTCAAATATAACAAAATAAGGCCTAAAGCTTACATATATAAACATAAAATGCAATGGCAGCTAAATCAACTCTGAGTTTTGATGGGACTATTGTTATGAGCGACGTGAATGAATCTATGGTAAATTTTAGGAGAATAGTAGTCTCGTGTGATGTTTGACCTCTCGCATTTCCTGAATTTTTTTTTTTAGTCAAGATATAGAAAACCTTTGAAACGTAAAAACATAATAAGCTTATAAATATAAACCTTGTGGCAACCTAAATATTCTCATAACCTCTGGACGGTTTGAAAGCGACGGAATTTTTTGGAAAAATATATTGACTAATAATCGTAATATGTGAAAAAGTATTGTTTCTATTTCAGGGAATTCAACAGTCGCTTCATCTTCGTTATGTCCATTTATTTTCATACTGTTAACGTTTATAATCAGAAAATAAATAAGCTATCAAAAGTGTTAAGTCTCTAAAAAAAAAAAGAGAAAACAAGTAGTAAACCTTTTTTTTGGTATATCTTTACAGATATATGCTGCTCCAAAATCTTTAATAATATTACCAATAATTTGTATAATATCGTATTGTACTTTAAACCCTTCAGTAAGTACCAATCTATCAAATAAATTAATTAACTCTATAAAAACATATTCATCAAGAAATGCGCTTCCTGCAACTACCGGTCGCAAAAAAGCTTTAAGAGCATCGATGCAAGTACGAACAATCTTTTGATTTTCAATATTATTTCCAATACTGCTGCTTCTGCTACCTCCACCAAATGTATTTGACAGCGCTTCAACACAAAGCCCGAAGAGTATAAAGAAGAATTTTGCAGGTACTTTTTTTGGTTCTGGCTCTTTTTCAAGAGAAAAGGAAGTAAAATCATCAGAAAATTCGTTATTGTCATCGCCAAAATCATCAAAATCATCATCATGTTTGCTTATGTCATTGTCATCTGTAGTAATTTCTTCTTCATTAAGTGCAAGAATAATATATGGATGTTCTTTTTGAGCCAAACTTGCGACTGCTCCCAAAATAGTTAGCCATGACATATTGTAATACTGTCAAAAAGCATAGGCCAAATAATTAACAACACGGGCCGATTTAAGAAACGAAATTAAGAAGATTTAAATTACCGGAAGAATAACTTCTCTAGTTAGTCCACTGTACATAGAATCAAAAACATCAGTTTGTGCAGTATTCTGCATTGAACCAGTACCGATAACATTAGCTTGAGCATCAGTAATATCAGGCTCGATCTGTACTCTAGCATATTCTTTCAATGTTAAGACCCATAAAGGACATAACAAAAGCAAATTTCTGTATTAAGTTAAGGTTAAGGGTGAATATGATCCTGCAAGAATTTTATCGAATACGATTTCTCGAGACCAATTTATCAAACTTATTTAAGGATACGGTTGAACAACTTGAACCAGATAATCTTGTTTAGTGCTAGCGACTTGAAGCTCGGCCCAGGCATTCAATACTGAAAGTTTAACCATTATTGCGGCATGAGGACTTAAATCTTTAAAATCGCCAACTTTGGTCACACTTGAATTATCTTTATATACAGACAAGAAAATTTAATCAAAGAAAATATAAGTTTGTGGTGTAAAGTTTTAATAATTGAGTACCTTTACAATTTTCCAGAGCAGTGGTTAATAGTTTCAATATACGTCCCATTCGATGTAACTCTTTCACAATACCGCTTCCAACAAATACAGCACATACTTTGACAGCTGCCGAAAGAATTTCTGGAGATGAATCGGCCGTGAAGGCAGGTGTTAGAGCCGCACCTATTTGTGCCTATGTTATTGCACTCGTTTAGTGAGTTGAATAGAGTTTTTAAAATGCAAGAAAATACAGACCTGATATTGTTCCAAAAGAGCCGCTTCCTCAAAATCTGGATCAGGTGTTGCAGAAAATTTCTAATAATAGCATTTTAAATAAGAATATAATATATGCAATATAAATAAACAAAGTTAGAACATTATTCAAACCTCAATCACATCTCTTAACAATGTTAAACCTTCTAATCTCATTTCACCCACTACAGCCGTTGAAGCTGTAAAAGCCATTTTAATAAGTTCAGCCACCTTTAAAACTAGATAATCTTTACCAGCTTGTTCACCCTTTTTAGCAACTGCTAAATTAAATTGATCTTTATCACCACTGGCATGAACAATTTCAACAACTTGGTGAAGGCATTTAAGTGCAAAAAGTTGCGTTCGCCATCTGGGCGGTATTTGCATGGTGTCAGATGAGAGATGAGCTTTTTTCTCAAGGCTTCGACGTCTCTGTACACTGACATTAATGCCAGAAGGTTGTTCGATACCAAATCCTTCACCTTCTTCGTCACCGCCATCACCAGTAATATCTAACGTCGGTGGCTCAACAGGTGCACCTGCACTCGCTACTGACCCAGTTCTTGACATAACCTTACGACATAATTCAACCCATAATGAAGGATTTTCAAGAGCAGTCTGACTTAGCCAGCTTTTGACAATATCTTTCACACCATCAACTTTAGGATCTGTGTCTAACAGCGAAAACAATTGATTATCTAATCCAGGAGCAGCAATCTCAAACACATGTTTAGCATTACGTTGAACTAGTTGGTATAAACATGTAATAGCAACCTCCTTCAAAGGGAAATGCATGCTTGAAAATTGGAACTGCAGGAATGCAACTAATCTCGGCAAATCCACATACTGCTGAGCAAGCATAATGAAATGTTGAAGACAACGTATTGATTCAACAATAACAGATTGATCATCATCATTTCGGAGTTCAGTCATCAAGTTTAAACACAGATTCCTAACTTTCGGATTTGTCTGTAATTCTGGACCTAATGTACCAATCAATCCATATATAATTTTGCCAAATTGTTGATATGCTGATAAGCCTAACCTGACATTTGTAGTACCAACTGTGCTACCGCATGGTTCGTGAGTATCGGCCATATAAAGTTTAGCAATGATACCTAAAGTACTGCTCACATATTGCGAAAACATTGGTCCAGCAGAGTCGATAATCTTTGATAAAGCGTAAAGCGCCCAAAAATGTACAACGGGGTGTGGATCACTGCTGAGTGATAATAAGATTCCAATCAAAGTTTTAAGATGTCCTCCTGCAGCCATACCACCAACATGACTATAAATACTGCCAAGGGCCAACGCACTTCCAGCACGCGTGTCTGGGTCACGGTTGTTGACGACCTGATCGACAAGAAGTTGCATTTGTGTTGGGACCATATTGCCTCCAACCACACTCAACAGACGTCCTAATGCATCGCTAGCAGCATGACGCAAATATGCATCCGGATGAATTATCGCTTCCTATATTATTATTAAAAAGAAAATAAATATTGTAGATGTTGCACCATTCATAGGACTTAATTGAATGGATGACTTGATATATGAAACAAACTTGTAATAATTCCATGGCCAAAGCTCCAACTTTTTTATCAGCAATACCGGGCACTGAAGTTTCTCCTTTTTTTCCAGAAATATTCATGATATTTTTGAATATGGCTAATAAACATACAACCATATTTACTTGAAGGGCCATTTTTCTTCCTGGGCTTTTTTCTAGTTTTGGATGTCTCACTGCTTTGATCAGTTGTTCCAAATGCGATTCTTGCACAAGCGCGCTCTGTAATGGAAAAATTAATGCAAAAAGCTCAATGCTATAATCTACTAATGCTGATGCGGCCGGAACAGGTTTTGGTATTTGAAATGTAATTGAATTTGCAGGTGATATCCAGTATGTGGTATATATCATTATGGAATCATATTCTGGAGCCCCAATGATTGGCTGCTCAAGCTGTAAAATATTATGCAAATATTAATAAAAGAACATTGCACATGAAATTATATGCCGTATAACCGCGAAATAAGGTTCGAGCGTATTTTTATCCATTTTATCTATTTACGCGTTGCTTTATCCAATTTATACGCTATTTCATCCATTTACGCGTTATTTCATCCATTTACGCGTTATCTCATCTACTTACGCGTTATTCATTCATTTACGCGTTATTTCATTCACTTACATGTCATCTCGGTGCATTTTTTTTAGAACCCAATGTACAAATGCCATAAATTCTGTTTACGAGAGTTATTCACAGTTATACGAACATGGAATTCTTGAATATTCAATATATTACCTGATTTTCTAGACGGCTTTCGATCAAATCTCGGTTAAGCCAATCTCTTACTGCAACTCCGCGGCTATTTTCGTCCTGATCACTATCGATAACATTTGCAATATCAACAGTCATTCCTTGTAATCTACTACTAACACCATAAGCGTATTCATCACCAGTAGTCCAGACACTAGTAAAAGATCCTGACACTGCAGCAATAGCAGCTGTGATAGCAGAACCAATATTTTTTTCTGGATCTGCAAAATGCGATAAACACATTTTCAGGAGTTGTGAACTGAGATTATCATAGGAGGATATCGGCCTAATCGCAATGAAGCATTGAAGTATTCTTCGTTTTAACATATTTTCACGTTCAGAGAACTTTAGTGAAGTTGAAGGGAATTGTTGCGCAACCGAAGTAGCAGAATTACTTAGTGTATTTATGTTATTAGACGAAGTAGCAACTAAAGTTGAAAAAATTAGAGTATTGTTCAGTAAAGCTACCAGTCGCTTAGCTACATCAGGAGTTATCAGCTTGGAATTATGTAACAAACAGCTAAGCATAGCTCCTAAAACACATTCTCGTACATGCAACATGAATGTCAACTCAGATTCTGTACGATTAGATACAAAATCTTTAGAAACTGGTTTAGGTAAGGCTGTTTTCCACAACAAAAGTAATTGTGGAAGATGTAATTTAACAAAGTTGGGCCCTAAACACATTAAGGATCCTATAAGAATCCATGCAACTTGTAAATGTATACTAGCAATTGCAAGGTCCTTGTTAGCGCTCGATTTGATAAGTTGCGTTGAAATAGAGAACACACGTGCGCTTAATTCAAATGAAACATAAAGTGGTCGAGCAGGCACTACACTTAAAAGTGCTGCTAGTCCATAAGCATGACCCAATGTTCGTTTCGGTAAATCTGATGAAACAGAATTATTTGTTAAGTTGTTCAAATCTTTGTTGACAAGAGAAAGGATTTTTTTAATAAGTTCTGATAATTTGATAGGCAGAGAATAACAAAGGCATCGAAGACACCAAGCAGCTGCAATCTGTACAGAGTAACTTGGGTGACTTAAAAGATTAATCAATGGATCTACAAGTATATCCTTTTAACAGATATAAGTAGTTACAATTATAAGCATTTATTATTAATAAAGAAAGTAAATTTACTCTGTTTATTAAGATGAAACTTATATACAATACCGAAACAGTGCTAGCTGCTCCTCCTAGATCTAGCAATAATCCAGATATCTCATTGACAGCACATACAAGAGATAATTTTGTTGGTTCGACTTGAGTGTGCGTCGATGCTGGCCATTGTTTGACCCAGTTATGCACTAGCTCTCGAACAGCTGTTACTTGACCTTGTTCACTTAGTAGCCTTGTACCAATAACATCGCGTAATAGCAATCCACAGTGTTCACGTACACTGAGTGTATCATATCGAGAATTTGCATTTTTAGGATGGGACACAAGTTCTTTCAACAAATGTCGAGCAATTTCCGCATAATTTAGTTCCACATATTTAGTTCCCAATTTAATAAAGAGAGCTGAATAAGTTTCAATAATTGCAGACCGCACATCTCGCGTAGTAGATGGTTTATTATAGATTGAGGATAAATGCGTTAACATCTCTTCAACAGATAACACAACTTTAACAGGATCTGATGAAGAACCGAGAGTAGGACTTCCTGGTGTTTGTGAGGAATGTGAGCTAGGATGTGATGTGGTGGAAGTTTTATTTTTGGTTACAGTTGAAGATGCTAAGAAGTCTACTTCTCCTTGTGTCCCTGCAAGCAAAGTCGATATATATGCAGCTACAGAACGACGGATAGTTTGATTAGAACCATCAAGTACTTTGACCATCTGAGAAAGCAATTGATCTAATTCATTAGCCGTAATTGGATAGAGTTGATGTGTATTCTTGGCTACTGAATGCATGCACTATAATAAGGAAATGTCAGAAATATGATTATTAAAATATATGCATTTAAACTTGATTCTCACAAATACCTTGACAGTTGCATCTCTGATTATCAAGGCCTTGTCATTCAATCCGGCTCTTAATTGTTTCATAATGTCCTTTACAAATAACTCTGTTGCTCCTTTAGCTGCTCCTTCAAGCGCTCTGGTAATTGTATTAATTGCTTCCAAACGAATAATTAGTGGCTAAATATTATTGAGCATAATTAGTATAGCCTATGCAATCTTGTTTTTTTTTGATAAATAATTTCAGCACACACTAACGTTGGATGTATTCTTAGTAGTCTTAAGACAAATATTGATTGTTTCGGGAAGCAATGACAAAACGCGATCTCCAATTGATTTCATAATAATGCCGACACAATGTAAAGCTACCCTACAAATTATATGAATATCGTTTTAAAAAATTGTAAAAGAAAAGATAAATTAAGACTTTTGTCGCGAAATAAAGCAAATGCTTACAATTTCTTTTCTTTTTCACTAGCACCTTTTCCAGCATTAACAAAGCTTTGTAAAGTAGTGATGGTATCAAACAAAGTTCTTGAATCACCCTTTATATAAATAATTACAAAACATCTTGCAATAAGCTGCCGAATTGGTCTACTTGGTTTTGGTGAAGTGAATGACATAAACTTTAATAACTGCTTTTCAAGGTTGGTTTGAATTGGTTTCATTGTTTCCTAAAGTATAATTATTTAGGAAAATGAATAAATAATGGATAAAATTCTATAACACTAAAAGAGAATCAATAATTAAAAGTAATAAAGTGAAACTCAAATAAATATGAAAATGGTTAAACCTTGTCAGTTTTCTTTAACTCTTTTTCTAAATTTGCCAACCAATTAAAAACATATAATTCTTGTTTCTCAGGGTTAGCAACATTAGATAACAACTTCTGTTCATCAAATTGAAAGGGTTCATTGAAGCTTGGATTTGGTGAATCTCGGCCGGCTGTGCCCGATGAACGTGGAGAAGCCATTACAGTATTGCTAGAGATATACTGAATTTAAGTCGTTTACCATTATTAAATACCGATCTACGGACACGTGCTTATATGAATTAAATGTACATGCGTATGTAACTTAAATATTTTTATCACAAAATTTTTTCGTGTTCGAAGTAAATTTCATTTTTACTATTTTATATATCGATAATTTGTACTTATAGCAAAACAATGACAACTCAATTACGAAATAAAGGAATAACACTTGAGGAATGGGAATCAAAAACCCAACTTACGGAAGTACAAAAACAGAGTGTGCTGGAACTTCAAGAGGCCTGTGCAAAATTACCATTACCTGACGGTGTAAGCAAATTATTATTTTTTTTTTCGTAATTTAATCAATTTGTGTAGAATTTTTAATTCAAATAATATGGTTATATGAACATTTCAGTTTCAAAGCGATCTTGGTTCAGGGACACCTCAACTTACATCATCCCCAACTCCAATGTCTATTAAAGATAGCCATCGATCATCACCATATCCTGGTTCTATATCATCCCTATTTTCCCTTCCAAAGTCACGTTCCACAGTTAATCTTTTGACTGCAGAATCTCAAGCAGGAGAAAATTCCTCTACCTCATCATCACCTCATGCTGTTCTTGGAATACCACGACCAATTGAGACTACACAGCAATTTTTTGATTGGTTTGCGAGGATGGAAAATGATATGGAAAAGGATCAAGAGGATGTCTATAGGTTGGCATAATGGATATGTAATATGTCTAAATCTATAATCTTCAATTGCTTGAGTTAAACTTTTAAATCAATTAACATTTGCGTTATTTTCCTTAATCTTAATTTTAGAAATTTTCTTGAAATGGTTACTTTATATAGACAAGCATGTGATAATTTTTTAGAACAAATAGATACAACTGTCAAATTATTTAATGATTTGGATGGTAATTTCAAATTTGTAGAAGAAAGAACAAAAGCTTTACAAACAGCTTGTGAGAAATTATTAGAAGAACAGGTAATATTACATTACATTATAGTATGGCTAAAATGCTTACATTTGTCTAATAATCCATCGATTTACTTATATTGTTGTAAGAATAATCTTACATCATTAGCAGATGCAATATCTTCGAAACTTTCTTATTACAATGAGCTGGAAGATATTACTAAGCTATTTAATTCTCCTGGAGAAAATATTTGTGAACAGCCAGAATTCATTCCAGTCTTGGCAAAACTTGATGAATGTTTAGACTACATGCAGAGTAATGTAAGTCTGAGTTTTGCATGCCTTATACTTTCACTTATCTCAAGTATTGTTTGTTTAATAGTTAAGATATAGAGATTCTGAGCTTTACCTTATGCGGTTCAGACAATGTATGACTCGTGGAATCACTTTGATAAAAATGTACTTTATTAACACAATTAAAGGCCTCGGTATCGAAATCAGTAAAAAGACAAACCAGGTATGTACCATATAATTTATATATATAATCTTGAATCTTGCATATTCAATACTTAAATCATTTTCAAATCATTTCGGATGACAAGTCGACAAATTCTACTGTGCAAACTGCCTTGTTTTATGTGAAGTTCCGTGCAGTAGCGCCAAAACTGAAAGAATTAGTACATGAGGTGGAAAAACGGTGTCCTGCACATCGAGAGTATGTCATATTCCTATTTATTAAATATTACTCCTAATATAAAAGCATAGTTGTCTTTTTAATTATTAACATTGTTATAGATATAATTCTTTGTTAAATGACTGTTATAATGCGTACTTTTCTGTACGACAACAGTTACTTATTCCTGTGATATATGCAAAGATTTTGGAGCTAGGTTCTGACGGACAAGATATTTTGACATTTGTAAGTTTTTTTGATAATAGTGAGTTGTCATTCAATTCCTTTCCTATATTCAAACTAGCTATTCTATATTAGGCCCGGAACGGATATGCGTATATGTTGAATCTTTGTTCAGATGAATATTTATTATTTTATAACTTTTTCTCAACGGGCGAAGACGACTTATAGTATGATATATTAGTATTTTTTTTACATAACTCGAGAATTTGATATACATATTGACATATTTTGCGCTTGATAGTGGAAACTTGGATCTGCTATGCAGTTACATGTACGACTATCTTCGTCCCCGTATTATTCATGAAACGAATATTGAAGTTTTATCAGAACTTTGTACAATTCTTCAGGTGCATATCAATCAAGATCCTGAAAAGATTGAAGGTATAAAATTATGTTGATATTACATCTTTGAGAATTGACAGTCTTAATAAACTTAAGCATGGTATTGGTCAAATAGAGAAGGAAGGACAAGGATTACAATTTAGTTACTTGATACGTAACGTGCTTCAAGATGCACAACAACGACTTGTTTTTCGTGTCCAAACATATATTCGAAGCGAAATACAAAATTTTATTCCAAAACCATCAGATGTGGACTATCCTACTAAGTTAAAAGGTTTGAAATTATATTTTGAGCTTTTCATACTTTAATCTTTCTAGTCATGTAATGGCCGTAGTGTTTTAGAATTGAATGCGACACCTTCATCCAATGGCATCCCTGAGCCAACTGAAATTCAACAGCCATCTTCATCGCCAGCTATACTAGCAGTACAACAAGATAACGGTGATATCGAATCCATGATAACAGTATCATCAGCATCATCAATGAATGCTATCGATGCTGGAGAGTTATATCGTGGATGGTTCCCCACGTTACAACGCACATTATGGGTACTTTCAAAACTTTATCGGTGTGTTAATGTGCGTCTTCAACTTTCATCTATAATCGCTTGTTTATAATATCAAACACATTTCGGTAATCATTTATGAACTCTGATAGCCTAAAATATTTGATGATATTGCACAAGATGTTGTTGATCTATGTTTGCACTCGCTGCTAACTACAAGTGAAATAGTAGCAAAGGAGGTGATTATTACAATGATTGTATAAAGAACATTTTTCAAATAGTATTTATGATTATTACTGACATCAATCAATTAAATTCTGCAGAGCAGACTTGATGGGCAACTTTTCTTAATAAAGCATCTCTTGATACTTAAGGACCAAATAGCATCGTTTGATACACAATTTATACATGAAGAAAAAGATTTAGATTTTTCACAAATAACGAGTACGTAATCACTTTATTGTTTGATATAAATTAAAGCGATGCTTTAGGTCTTATTTTTTAGACCTTAAATTGATTGATTCATATATTACCAGGCGCACTTGGTGAGATATTGCAAAATAAATATTCAATCCTTAGCCCAACCACTTTATTTGGTTTGGCGTCGAAGGGAATACCAAAAGTTGTCGAGAACAGGATTGATTCAAAACAGGTTAGTTTATATCCTTCATTATTATTAATATTATTATCTGTAATACTATTACAGACAAAATCGGAATTAATATAGGAAGTCGATAAAGAGTTGAAGCGTATATGTGAAGAGTTCATTACGGATAGTTACAAAGCAGCCATTGAACCATTATCAGCATTTCTAATGAAGGTAAAAATCATTTAAATAAATGGCTTATTATATTTATCATTGCAACAATTTTTTACAACAAATTGGATTTTTAGGAGTCCTCATTCCGATTAAGAAATGACCTTAAGCCACCACACCATCAAACTTTGTTAAAAGATCAAAGCTTCGCACAACCGGGTAAATTGAATTTTATGCACGTGAAGATTTGCTTTAAAGCTTTTATAATAAATCTTTTCATCATTTTTAGCCAATATTATCGAGGTTTATGAAACGTTTCAAGATGCTGTTAAATCCCGGCTTCGTTATATTATCACCAAAATGTCAGAATATATTGAAGATCGTAATACAGAAAATGTATTGCTAAAGCCTATTCAGGTAGTAATATTATTCAGTTTTATTTTATTATTTTTTTGGCACTAACTGCAATTTATTTTCCTGAATCTATACTGCGCCATAGAATCGTATAATAGATACATACCAAGCATTTTATGAAATTTTACTGTCAGAGAACTTTGAATTAGACAATTTTCCAAAAACATTAGGTGATGTGGAAGAAGTTAAAGAATGGGTAAAATGCGAGTGGTTTGGAGTCGAAGAACCTCAAAATAATAATGTTAATCTCTATAGTGAATCGGATAATTAATAATGTTTAATTCAAATGTTTTTAATTTATAAATTAAATATTTGATAAAAGTATACATTTTGTTCCTGATTGGTAAACTTTTAAATTTTGTAGCTGGTAGACCTGCAGATAAATGTTAACCAATCAAATTACATAACTTTTAAACAATACTAAAGCAATAGACTTCTAATAATAGAAAGAAATTTAAAATGACAATTATACCAAAAAGGGATAAACATAAATTGCGAAAAGCGAACCAGAAATTTATACATTTTATTATCAATCCCTTAAAAAAAATCAACCTAATTTACAAGCTTACGCTAGTCCAAATTAAACAGTGTGCAGTAGATAATTTCTTTAGATCTAATTTGGTAAAATCTGCAAAAAGTTTGCCTAAGTCGGTTTTATCTATATTGCTGTATTGTATAATGAAATTTAAATTTTAAAAAAAAAAAAAATCAAAAAAATCATATTCCGCATCGGGGAATCGAACCCCGGCCGTCGCGGTGAAAGCGCGAAATCCTAGCCACTAGACCAATGCGGATTTAACATGTAATAGGTTCAAATTTTATTTTTGAAAAATCATATTTTTTCATAATATGTCGTTTTTAATAAACAAATAAGACGATTATAGTTGCCATCCAACTGTTTGAGACGTCCCAAACCATGTGATGATTAGTACCGTATTTGCCCGTAATAACGCACAGGGGTGTAGTTTTGAATTTCGGCCTAAATTAAGCTTAACTCAGGCCGTGTCTCAAAATAACGCCCCTGTGCGTTATTACAGGCAAATACGGTATCACATTTTAACCTAATTATTAACACAATAGATGTTATACAATATTGGCTTTAATATAACTAGAGCTAATTAACCTTATAAGCTTTATTATTGGCTGCTTCGCATCCAATAACTATATATTATTTCTCATAATCCGGTCAAGTCAGTTTTTGTAAATTTTTGATACTTTACATAATTTTCTATAAATTTTCCTGAGTTTGAAAAAAATTTTTATATTTTCTAGCAAAAAAAAACAAAATTTTATTAAAGGCCGGGCGAGCAGGTCACTTTCAAAATTCATATTGGAAATAAACATGACCTAAAAGTTTATAAAAAAAAAATTAACATAAAATGAAAGTTAATGCAGTATTGAAAGAAAAAGAATAATTCTGTTTCTAATGACTAATAAAAAACTTCAAATTTTCCTAACTAAAACTTCTCTATAGTCACCTTCTATATACAGATATACTGTACTGTATATGGTTTTTAAGATTATGAACTTAACAAACAGTACCGGTTCCAGGAGGGATCTGGACTCGAAAAACTTGAAAGACCTGAAATAAAGCTGTTATTTGATTTCGGTTGAATCAGCCAGGATCACCCCCCAAAAGTTTGGGTGATGATCTATGGATCATGCATATGTGATAATTCAAAGGTACCGCAGTAGCCGCCGATAATCAAAAATGTATTTTGGATAATCAAGAACTTCGACGTTCTATTGAAGCTTTTAGAAACTTCTGATCTTAACAAAAAAAGAACAAAAAAAACTTCGAACTAGTTACACATCACCTTTAACTTTATATAAGTAAGCTCATATTAAATATTATTTTATTTTAAAGAAATAATTATAATAAATTTCAAATTACAATGTAAGGTATATAACGATTTTAGTTATTCTATTTTTTTTTCTAATTCCATTAGAAATCAACACAATATTATTAACTAATAACATTTTCTACTTGCTCTTCTGGGAGAGACAAATACATAAGATACGGCTTTTTACTATTTTCTAAATTCCAAGTTGTCTGCCGTTTTCTACACCTCTCAACAGTTTGAATATCTTTTTCCATTTGTATTAGACGACTATATTTCATCATGGTACTAACTTGTTGCCAATTATTGGCAGACTTTTCTAAACAGATTCGTTGGAATGCCTGCTCAAATAACTCCCAGTTTGATTCAATATAAACACGGGCCTCTTCGTTCGGATCTTCATCTATATCAATGCCATAGTTATCTGGTAAGTTATCAATAGGAGCTTCAGCAACTTGAACCTGAAGTGCTGGGATATCGGTATTAAGATTATTGATAATAAGGAAAGGTGGTGTAGTACAATGCTCAAACTCATTTCTAATCAAACATCGTCTTTTTCCATCAGGTGTATTTATGCACTTTTAAACCAAGTGCTTACATAATAAGAAATGATTTCCAACGAAACTAGGGCAACTACATACCCAACAAGAAATGTCTGTATAGTACAAAGTAGAACTACTCAAATTAGTTGTTTCTTTATTATTACTCCTTTTTCTTTTCTTACTACTCCTATTAGCACGTAGCTTTACTCGTTCTTCATCACTTGCACCCTTATAAGTCCACTCCTTCTTGAAGTCCTCCCACCAGTATGGTTCTATCACTCCACTTCGAATTTGCAAAAACCAATCCTTCTGTGATGGAATCACTTCATCAAGAAGTGTCCACACCAAGAGGTCTAGCCTAGGCTGGTTAAAATGCTATAAGTAAAGTCGTTTAAGGACACCCCAATAAGCCTCTATTTTCATTGTGGTTTTTCCATAAGATACAGTCGGTTTGGCTGACCGTGCCCAAAGATGCCATTGCCTTGTTGAGTACCAATTTGTCCAGAGATAGGACTAGAGCAACCGTAATCCTTATATATTTTATTTTATTAGTAAGATTAATATTGAGAAAGATGCTAAAACTAGATTATGCTAAAATTTGAATTTATTTTAATAGTTGGATTAAGATTTAAGGTTAGGGTTTATAATTAAAGTGTATAGGTGGGTTTTAGTAGGGTTTATATTTTTAAATAGAGATTCTAAGTTTTAGCATTATCCAAGAATTAACATAATATAATCTAAAAGGATTAATTATTATACCATGTTCTATACAAAATCGATACATCTCCTCTACTGCAGTCCTTCTTATAGCCTGTAGTAATATCGTACCACCTTGTGCATTAATGGGTATTAATGGATGCAAGTCAAAGTGCCTTTGTATAAGTTCTAAAATTTCTTCCTGAAACAGAGATAGACAAATAATATATAACTGTGGATTACGGTCTTCCTCACTTGGGTAAAATGTGGAATCAATAAAATCAAACTCTCTGGCAGCTTGATTGGCATCATATTTCACAGCTATTAATCCAACATTACTTGATCGTTTTGCTTTTTCTTCAAGTTTATGTTTCACAGCTCGCTTTAAATGCTACGCACATAATTGGACAACAGAAACCCCCACACTTTGGATGCAGCATTTATTTCTGCGAAGTTTTTATCAGTAAATACAAAATTTGGATTAATATTATAAGATTTCAAAATCTTCATAAGTCTTTCTAATATTGTACCATGTTTTCCTGTAGTGGCACTCAAATCTTTTGCTTTAGTTGTATCCATTATTAAATAAGCGATTGGAAAACCAGCTCTGTCTACATTAGCGATAACCCCATAAAGTTTATAGCACCCACGTGTAGTTTTATATGTCGCATCTATATATATTTCAGTAACTTTAAAGGTAAATAATATTAAAAAAATTATTGCATTTTAAATTCTTACTAAGTAAATCTTATTTAATTTTCTAGTTTATATTATAAAGACGATTTCTTAAAATCTTATTTATTTATTTTTATTATTTATTATTATTTTTATTTTTTATCTTTATATTTATTTATTTATTTTAAGAAGTTCAAAAGAATTAATCTTTAGCTTTAATGTTGAGATCATTAATGCTTTTCAATAATGGCATCATAAAGGCAATGGCGGTGGACTCTGAATCTTGTATATTTAGACATTGTTGGAAACCTTGATTTTTGTGTTCATTCAGAAGTTTACATGCAGATTCGACTGGATTATTATGATGCTGATATATAGCTCAATTTGCCATGGCCTTCCAATAGTATATGCGTTTATGAGAGTATTTTGAGATATCAAATCCATGATGTCGTAGATGATTGGTTAATTGAACTATAGTGAGGTGCGCGTATACTTTAATCTCTTCGTGTAATTCTTCTGACATTTCAATACAAGGATCTGGGCGTTCATGAAGAGATCCATGATAGATTTTCACTTTTGCAATGCCAAGAACGGTATCAACTCGTATTGTAATCTTTTCTTTACAATTGTAACGTTTGCATCTCTTCCGATTTGAATCTATATATTGTTTACTTATAGCTTCATTTGACTGGCTACATATATATTTGAATTTACAGACTGTATCGCCATACTTTCTTGATTGGCCTATTTCGTGATAGCTAACATACAAATATTGGTAATATGTAAAGAAAATATTAAAAAGAACGGGACGGAAAAAATTAAAAAAAAAAGACTTACGTCCATAAAAAATCATCACCACCTTCAATCTCAGTGATGACAAGGGCAGCAATTTTTTTTGCTGTCATGTTTTGTATATCTGAGTTCATTTTTACTAATAAATGTGCCTGGTATTCTTTATCAACTATGCTGTTGACATTTTCACTTTCTGTTAACTCTTGGATTTCATTTGAGATAAAGTCACCAACCTCAAGGTAATCGATTTTAACTTGCTTAGTTTCCTGACTAGTAATTTTAAGATTATTCTTTTTCCTTCAATCACGATTCTTTTTATATACAATACAAGTTTTGTGGCGAGTACTATCCCAAACAAATTTGTCATCAAGACGCTTAACTTTACACCCACTGCATTCTTTCATTTTAGTATAAACTGGAAATTGTATATGTTGAAGTCAAATATCTATATAATGTGAGCTTTGGTGTATATAATTTTGTTCTTTGGGCTTTTTGAAATATCGCTTATAATAAGATAACATCCAATATTTATACGAACAACCAAGCATATTTTATTATTGTAATGTTAATAATAATAATTGTATATTTGTAGGATAAGAAATACAAATTATGAATGTGTCGCTACATACAAAGAGAGATATAGGATTCCAAATGTGTTATTACACGTCCTTCGAACAATGAAGATATGTTAAAAAAAATATTATTTATTTCTTTGATCATTTTAT